CGCCCTCCTGCATGCCATGAAACAGCTGATCAGGAGGTTTGGGGAGGGAGGGGGGGGACTGATTGGCGGGGCTGCCGGTGGGCGGGAGGCACTGGAAGTGGTGGTGGGGAGCTGATGGGGGGCTGCTGAGATTACTGTGGTTCTTTGGCAATGTACATTGGTAAATTCTGGCTCTTTTTCAGGCTCAGGTTGGCCACCCCAATCTACCCCATACTCTCCTGAGCAGCCCCATTTCTTTAATGAATATCATGACGTGATTAGAGATCAAATCAAGTCCAGGAAGCTAGTTACACCCCTCCCTCCCCTTTGAATAATGTGATGGGTTGCCCCCTTTAAGATGCCACTTGCTATCCTGAGATATCACTGAGCCTGCCTGTTCTGCCATCCTGGACCCCCTTTTTACCTGTCTTGCTGAGCCAGGCTATTAAGCCTCCTCCAGCACACCCACAGGCAGGGCCACGTCCAACTGCAGAATGACACAAACACTGAAATCAGCTCTGGGAAGATAGCTTAAGGGACTTTCCCCAGCACTCAGGTGTCCAGCTCCCTTGGAGTGCAGACCCAAAGGTATATTATGAAATCCATCTCCTCCCTCAATGTGAAGGAAGGTATGCACAGCCTCTTACCTGCCCCCCGATTATGAATTGCACCAATGGAGTTATTATAAAGAAGAAATAAGTTTATTAACTACAAAAGGTTAAAGAGACAGCAACCAGAACAAAGCAGATTACTAAGCAAATAAAACAAAACACGCAAACTAAGCTTGTTTCACTAAAGAAATTGGTTACAAATAGTAATTTCTCACCCTAGATATTGTTGCAGGCAGATTACAGAAAGTCTTGAAAGGCAGCTGCACTGGTCTCCAGCTTGAGACCTCAGATATTTTTATTCACAAGCTAGATGCCCTTCCAGCTTGGGCTCAACCCTTCCCCCCACCCTTCAGTTCTTGCTTCCAAGTCTCTTTGGGTGGGGAGGCAGAGGAGAACCACGATGATGTCACTCCCCTGCCTTATATAGCTCTTGTGTAACGCAGGAATCCTTTGTCTTCCAGTGGAAAAACACTGGCATTCCAAAAGGGGAGGAGGGGTGTCCAGTACCAGGTGACTCAGACCCATGTCTCTGCAGGGCTGTGGCAGCCATTGCTCGTAGGCTGCCTCGAGCATCCACAGGAAGACTAAGCTCTTCTACAGACGATTGTCTTTGCTAATGGGCCATTAGCACTGTCTGGCTTTCTCATTGTTGTACCTGAAGGGCTAGTTGGGGGGTTACACCCAAAGTAACCCATTTTAAATAAAGATACATAGTCAATATTCCTAACTTCAGATAAAGAAATGATACAAAAACAACGAGGAGTCCGGTGCCACCTTAAAGACTAACAGATTTATTTGGGCATAAATCTGTTAGTCTTTAAGGTGGCACTGGACTCCTCGCTGTTTTTGTGGATACAGACTAACACAGCTGAGAAATGATTCAGGCGTACAAATGGGATAATCACATTCAGGAAATCATAACCTTTCCAATGAAACCTTACAAGATCCATCTTGAATAAAGTACATCTCAGTTATGTCATATCCATATCATAATAATATTTTCACAAATGTGATTTTGTAATTTACTTTTAAATGTTTAGCCATTGATAGTGAGTGCGGAGGTGCAGGTATTTACATGCTTATGAGACACACTTGTGTAGCTTACCAAGACAGTGAAATCCTTGTTGATCTTAAACACAAAAAAGAAGCTTACAAGAAGTGGAAGATTGGACAAATGACTGGGGAGGAGTATAAAAATAGTGCTCAGGCATGTGGGAGTGAAATCAGGAAGGCCAAATCACACTTGGAGTTGCAGCTAGCAAGAGATGTTAAGAGTAACAAGAAGGGTTTCTTCAGTATGTTAGCAACAAGAAGAAGTTCAAGGAAAGTGTGGGCCCCTTACTGAATGAGGGAGGAACCCTAGTGACAGAGGATTTGGAAAATCCTCACGTACTCAATGCTCTTTTTGCCTCGGCCTGC